TTGGAACAGGACAAGGGGATACTGCATGGTTTAAAATCAGGAAGGGAGTGTGTCAGGGTTGTATCCTTTCACCATACTTATTCAATCTGTATGCTTACAAATAATCCAAGAAGCTGGACTATATGAAGAAGAGCATGGCATCAGGATTGAAGGAAGACTTATTCATAGCCTGCCACATGCAGACAACACAACTTTGCTTGCTGAAAGTGAAGATGACTTGAAGCACTTACTGATGAAGATTAAAGACTACAGTCTGCAGTATGGATTACATGTCAACATGAAGAAAACAAAAATCTTCACAACTGTACCTATAAGCAGCATCATGATAAATGGAGAAAAGATTGAAGTTGTCAAAGATTTTGTATTACTTGGTTCCACAATCAACACCAATGGAAGCAGCGGTCAAGAAATCAGATGATATATTGCACTGGGAAAATCTGCTTCAAAAGACCTCGTTCAAGTGGTGAAAAGCAGAGATGTCTCCTTGAATGAAGACTAAAGTTTGCCTAACCCAAGTGATGGTATTTTCAATTGCTTCATATGCTGTATGAAATGAAATGCATGGACAATGAATAAGGAAGCCTGAAGAAGAGTCGATGCTTTTGAGTTGTTGTGCTGGCAAAGAATATCGAAGGTACCATGGATTGCCAAAAGAACTAACAAATCTGTCCTGGAAGAAGTGCAGCTGGAATGGTCCTTGAAAGTGAGAATGGCCAGCCTTCATCTCACCTACTTTGGTCATGTTGTCAGAAGGGACCATTCCCTGGAGAAGCATATCATGCTTGGTAAAGTGGAAGGTCAACAAAAAAGGGGAAAGCCCTCAGTGAGATAGACTGACACAGTGGCTGCAACAATGGGCTTAGGTATAGCAAGGACTGTGAGGTTGGCACAGGACTGGGCAGTGTTTTGTTCTGTTGTCCACAGGGTCACTATGAGTTGGAGCCAACTTGACAGCACCTAATAACAACAACAAGAAGTCTACTGGCAAATTAAATTACTAGATACAGCACATAATATTCAAAAGACCGAATCATCCAGAATTGCCGAATATCTATATTATTTAATCGTGGGCTGAAATAAAATGTTTTATAAAAGCAGGTATGTAGCTATATAGCCTAATCACAAAATCTTTCCTGCACAGAATCAGGAAGGTATGCAGTTTAAACGATGCATGAAATTACAGAGCCAATGGTGAGTAACATTTTCCAACTTATTTTCATGTAAAGATCTTACTGTAGAAATGCATGAGAACCTCTGGTTCTGTTCCCAGAGTCTGCATTGTTCTAACCTCAGATTATCTGTCAGCTATGAAAATAGGCTAAGTTCTGACACGCATTCAAGCCAACCAAACCCACTGCCATTGAGTCAATTCTGACACATAGAGACCTATAGGACAGAGTAAAGCTGCCCTTAGAGGGTTTCCAAAGCTGTAAATCTTCACAGAAACAGATTGCTTCATCTGTCTCCTGTGGAGTGGCTGGTGGTTCCGACCACCAACCTTTTGGTTAACAGCCCAATGCTTTATCCACAGCACCACCAGAGCTCCTTGGCCTTCATTTAAGAATGCCTAAAATTCTATTTTGCTTCTACAATGACAGGGAGGGGAATGATTGCTCATGATGCCATTTTTAATCACAGAGAAACAAGTACTACTGGACATAAAAATTATAAGTTCTAGTCATAAGGAACATGTGAATTTGAGCAATAATGTAGTATTTATTGACACATAGAAATCTTTCATGAAAAACATAATTTTCTATTATTATATAAGTAATATATGTTCATTTAAAAAAGATGAAAGTAAGCTTAGAAGAAATACAATTCCAAACTAGTGGAAACTGATAAAGCACATTAAGGGTAGGTTTAAAAAGAATTTTGCTGAGCATTCTAGTAAGATAGTGATAATATAGTATTGTTCCTAATTGTGCTCTTAGTGTATTAGAATTCAAATACAATGGCCCACCTAGTGCTCGAATCTTGGTTTCTAAATACAATTCTCCAATAAGAAGAACCAGAGTTCCTTTAAGAACTGGTTGATTCCAGGGCTGCAGAAGGGGAAATGTAAGATGAGGCAGTGGTATCTTATGGTGTCAGAAAGTAGAAAAAGGTGCTCAAAGAAGGCTGGGAGCAAGTTGAAAGGGTACCAGAGTCAATATGAAAGAGCTCTCAAGGGCCAAAGTTGGAATTATTTAAA